TTGCCATGGCGAAAATCCACGAATTACGGTTTGAACTGCTTGACCATCCACCTTACTCACCAGATCTAGCCCCAAGCGACTTCTTTTTGTTCCCTCATCTAAAAATTGCGCTCGGAGGACAGAGATTTTCGTCAAATGAAGAGGCAATCACCTTCGTGAACAATTATTTTGCAGAGAAAAACGCCGAGTACTATTTCGACGGGTTACAGAGATGGGAGCATCGCTGGGAGAAGTGTGTAGATTTACAAGGAGACTATGTTGAAAAATAAAAAACAATTTTCAGAAAAAATGACTTGTATCTTTGTTAGGTCGGAAACTTTTCAGACCACCCTCGTAAGTATTATCTTAAGATGTCATGAACCAATCACAGAGCATCTTAAGACATTACTTAAGACGGTCTTGAAAAAAGATTCGACTATAAATATCGGTCTATAAGATTTATTCGCGTTGCCTGCACTTTTGACACTTTTACACTTAATGCTCGTTATACACCGGCTTTTCTTTAAAAGAAATTGGATTTAGTTCATGGTGTCAGGTGGGTAATGGGTGAAATAAAAAAGTATTAAAAGTGTAAGCAACTCGAATAAATCTTAGGCCGGTATTCATAGTCAGATCTTATATTTAAGATCAACTTAAGTAGGTGTATATCAGTTGGACACGGGGCAATTGGACACAGTCCAATCACAAGTCGCTGTTCCAAGGGACCCTACAAATGTCTCTAAGTACACGGTGCTGTGATTGGTTGTGTCCAAATGCACCGTGTCCAAGTGCACCGCTCCCAACTTAAGTACTGTCTTAAGATGTCATGAACCAATCACAGAACCGTATTCGCATCTTAAGATATTACTTAAGACGACCTTGAAATAAGATTCGACTATGAATACCGGCCTTAAATCATTAAATTCTGGGCATAATCATATCTGGTTATATAGGGAAATTAATATGTATATAGGGAAATGTTACTTAACTATTCCACGAGTGAAGTAGGTTGGAATCTCTGAAAGTATCGAATAACCAATCCGCTTATTCCAGAACACGCGCAAAAGTGCGACAAACTGAATTATGTGATCTATGGCATCCGGTGCTGGACAACGTACGAAATGTACAACGTGATTTATTAGGTGAGGAAAATTATATATTACAGATTTAATATTTATCATATTCATACTTATTAAGATTTCTCGATAAATTTCTTGTTACAAAATTGAAAATTACAATACCATTTTGCCATTTCAACATGAACTCTTCAACAATTCTAATATTTTAACCTGAGATTTTCTGTGCTGTACATTCTGCTTTTATTCTCTGTATTAAGTGAAATTGCGATTCAAATAAAAGATCATATTGTTTTGTGGAATTTATCGTTATATCCACACATTGCCAATAATAGTTTCCGACATAGGTGGTGGGAGAACATCTAAAGACCTAATAGTTAAATCATATGTTTATCTTTTTGAAGAAAAAACGAAGAAAGACATGATTTAACTATTTTTATTTAGCTATTGGGTAACCAAGAAGTTAGAACAATCGGCCTTTAATGACATATTGAGTCATTAGAGTCAATAAGATGTATGATCTTAAATTTGAGTCATTAGAGTCATTAAGATGTTATATCATTTGACGTCACTCTATTGCCTAGAATGTTAATGAATTCGATTAAATATTTGCTCAGTTAAATCTAGCATGACAAGCATATAAATTTAAATGCGCAATTATACGAATGAGTCCATACGTCGGGAATTTTTGTTATCAATTTATTTGCGATCCATTTCCTCGTGGAAAGAGAGGGAGAGAAAAATGTGTACATTTGCATTATTACGCATCTGTCCGCTGATGCGCACTTCGGCTTCTTTCAACTCATTCTGTTTTTATCGCCACCACATTGCACAATTTGCTCTTTGTCGTTACACAAATTTCGCATGTTGCGTTATGCAATAATTAGATCGAGGTCGTTTTAAACGTTATCGATGAAATTAGCGGATATTTCCCGGAATGTGCGTATTGTGCAACATTGCGTAATTGCGGAATATGCACTCGTTTCGCTCATTAAATTTTTGACTCTTCTTATTATCCTCGTTACACAGAGTGTCGTAATTCCGGAACGAAACAAAGAAAAAGAGAGAGAGAGAGGAAAGAGAATGAATGAGTCGTAGAGTGTTTTATCGAATTATATTTTATTAATTTTTTTGGAGGTTTTAAAAAAAGATATAAGTAATGCAAAACAATATTTCGTAAATCGTATATTAAATTCCGTAAAGTTTAATAGGATGACCGATCGATCAACAATTTGCACAAGATCACTTGTGCGTGTAGAATGATGGCACTTGCACGGCAATTATTGCTTCGGAGAGGCATGTAGTTGCATTTATCATATTACGAACGATTAAACTGTGAATATGCCGGTCGGGTTGTTCGCGTGAAAGCAAAAGTAAGGAATACATTAATCAACCCCTATGAAAAATTTTTTATACATAATTATGTAAAATTATATAAAGTTATATATAATTATACATTATTATATATAATTATGTATGAAATTTGTCCATATATGTTACTTATATATAATAATGTATAATTATATACATAATTTTATATATAATTTTATATAATTTACAACTATGTAATTATACATATAATTTACAATTATATGTAATTATACATATAATTATACATAATTATATATGGGCAAATTTTATATATAATTATGCATAAAAAATTTTTTATCGGGACGTTTTAAACATCCTACACTTCCCATCGGTTTATTTAACAAGCGTTTCTACATGTGGTAAACTTACATCATTAGATAGAGAAAGATTCCATATATATACGTATATCTGTGTATGTGCGTGTATATAGGATTATAAAGGAGGTACACACTCAAACAGATGTACATATACATACATATATGTATGTATTATTCATTCTTTTTATAAAAACGGAAGAACGGCAATAATCGCCGTGCATCGGTCGATAACTCTCGTCAACTCTCGACGAGAGAATAAACAAGTTTTGTTTTTTTTTCTACTTTCTCTCGTATAAAACCCTAAATTATCAAACGAGCGTACTACAAAAATCGTACAGCGATACGGCTTACGTACTGTGCGTCCAACCTATTTATCCCACTTGATGAAAGCTTCTAAAATAGGACCTGACGATTAGCGTCCCGGTATTTTTCTTAGGCGAGAACGATGGTTTTCTATGAAAGCTGCGAAAATGCTATGAGTCTGCCGTCGAAAAATCGATGGCACGTTCGAAACAATATAAATCATGTATATTTTGTAGTATAGCAATTCTTGTCGAATATATGTACATTCTTACGAAACGTGTTCTTCCAAGAGAAGAAATGAAACTCGTTTGAACGATGTAGGTTGACTTTCGAAATGGATGTCGCAGCAGCTCGTAGCCGCGTGAACTCTTTATAGAGAGAGATGTGACGTTTTCATTTACATTTAACGAATTTAAATTCGTCGCTTAGTTATCTGTCAGATCGTAATTCGGTGAATATTTCCGAATATCAATGCGAAAAAGTGTCGCGCACGATAAATCGCTGTAAATGCTATAAAGAGTTAAGAACTGCAATGTGACGCGGAACAGATCTCTCGAAACAGGCTTTGCGAGCCTTATTTTAATACTGCCTTCAAAACGAATATATCTTGATCCATATCTTGACGTCGCCGAGACGGTAGACACACACAAAAAGTGACGTGTGGTCAAATTTTAATAGTCAAAATTCGTAGAAAAGTTTGTTGTTGCAGTCTTCTCGTTTGCGTATCCTACGAAGACGTGTAAATTCGAGATTATTGCTAATTATCGAACACGCGAAAGGCACAGGTTATCAATTAGCAAAACAGTCAACAACTTGCTGAATTTCTTGTTGACAAGAGGATTTGATCTTCGTTCGTAATTCCCTGTTTGTGTGACATTCAATTGGAAAAAAAGAAAGAAAGAAAATCTGGCAAATATCTCGTTGCTTTTCTCACTCTTAGCCAATAACAGAGATGTTACAGCGAACGTTCGAATATCCGTCTTCTACTTCCGACTCTACTTCCCCTTTGGTTAACGCTAAGGGTCAAAACGGACATCCTCCGTTTTCGATAACGGGACCAATTGACGTCGTTTATATCGCGCGCTGACGGAGCAACGCGCGAAACAGTGTATCGCGATTTTACTTACAGACTAGCAAGCGTGCATCACGACATTACTACACCTACGCACCCTTCTGCTTACTACTCTTACTGAATTAATCATCTTTGTACGATTTCGTGCGTCATGCACTAGGAACAGATCAATAGTTTTCGCTGGAAGTGTGCCGATCGATCGTCACATCTGAGGACATTACGGTCAGTCGATCGTTACGTGATCGTGCGTTCCTTCGCGTCAGCTGAGCCAAATCTGTTGTCGAATGAATGTCAATTTAGATACAAATCTATTGATTCCACGCGAAAGAAGCGGATTTTCCAGAAAATCGATTTGAAATTTCGGCATGTTGGTCAGCTCTGCCTAAGACTGTGCGACTTTCAGCAATGCCTTGTTGTTGCAATTCGATAAATCTGTTTCGAAGTAGCTGCTGCCAAGGCACAGATAGCAATGCGGCAACTTGATTGTAAAAGGAAGACGATGTCACGTACGATCGGCGCTCTCCCGGCGAAACGCGGTATCTTACAGATCGTCCTCTTATCGTGACAATTCGAACGAGCGAGCCCAATAGCCGAGGCGTATGGTTCTCGTTTCTCGTCAACAAAACGCGATGTTTCGTGTATCTTATGTACACGGTATGTATACATATGTATATGTAGGTATGCGAAGTTCACGTACGACCAGGAAATGTCGCATACGCTATTCTAAAAAAACCGTCCCGCAGTTGTGGAGTCCGCAAAGAAGCGGCGCGCGTACGGCCGACGCGACACGAATAGATAAAACGGAAAGAAAAAGGGGAGAAAAAAGAATATTTGAGCTGTCATTAATATTCAACGTGAAACTTTAGCCTGTGGACCAACATCGCGCGGCAGAAACTCGCAGTTTACGAATGCTAACTCCGCCACCTTGCGCATATTATTACGGAATGAAATATGAATTCTCGCCAATTAAATTGGTCGAGAGCTCCTGCGTTTCAAAAAAGCAAATTTTTATATATAAAGAGACATTAGTTTCTCGTGCGAGAAGTATTCGCGCGTATATGGAAATCTTTTATGATCAAATTGAGATTTTGATGTTTCTTTTTTTCGATAAACAAAACGTATCTTCTCTTTCCACGAAAGAAATATTCGAGTGTTTAATGTTGACTCACAATGTAACATGAAGAATTATTGAAAAATTATTCCGAAATCTCGTGTGACTGCTTTCCAATCTTGATTTGTGCGATATTACTTGCAATGCAACGATTCATGTTATTGATAAGATTTTGCTGTTGAATAATTATCCGGCTAATTGACGATTTCATTCGCTCATGACAAATAATTAATGATATCGTGCGCACGAATTAATAGCTAAAATTAATAGCCGAAAGTAGAAGCATAATATATTCGGGTGATACGTTCGCGTCTCGTCAGCCGTATACAATGCGCGTACTAATTAACAATCTGTCTACTGTTAAGAAAGTGAAGCGTAGATAAAAGCTCGATCACGCGAAAGCTCTGCCTTCGTCGTCTCCGTCGTCGTCGTAATAGTGTTGTCATCGTGCTATCGATAGGAAGGATATACGGGAACCGGGAGTCACACAGGAGGGCAACCATTCCCGGAGCCAAGCAGGGGGAGCGTTCGTCGACATCGCGTCGTATCGTCCCCGCCGTCATCGCCGTCATCGCGTCGTGAACGTCGCGACGACCGATTGTTTCGCCCTGTAGAGCGTCGAGCGCGCCGTCATCCGTAATGTGTCACTCGCGGTGACGAGTAGCGAGGCTGATGGTGATACTCGCGTCCGGATGACGTGCGGTATTCGCGAACGGCCGCCGTGGGCCGCCGTTCCTCGCGCCGGACCCAGCGCCTCATTTGCCCTCCAGGATCTCCTGAATGCTCACGTATGTGCCAGTGAGGAAGCCTAACACGCCGAAAGAGATGATGGCGAGATTCTTCCACAGCCGCCAGTTCCACTTGCCAAGGCCGTTCTCCAGCTCCCACACGGTCACCAGCTCGATCACCGACGGGAACATGAGGCCGAGCGTGGATAGGCACACCGCGCCTACGAGGGAGATGAACGGACCCAGATTCGGGATGGCGATCGCCACGCAAACTGTGAAGATCACCAAGAAGATACGCAGCAGATACTCGCCGAACAATCGTCGCGAGCCGAAGTACTGCTTGGCGTTTTTCCAAATGATCTCCATCGGCACGTAGAACTGGAGCCCGTAGGTGAGGAATATCGCCACGGCGATCATAACTTTGGCGGATTGTGCGAGCACCTCGTCCTGCGGCGGATTGAGCGTGATGGAGGCCTTCGTGGTGTCACCATACTTCCAGTAACCGAAGAAACCGACGGTGCTGTACAGCAATACGACGAAGAACATACCAGTGTTGAGGACACCCGGGCAGCCGATAAAGTGCGACGGCGTCTTCATGTTATTCTCCAACGGCATAACCTGAGAAACAAGTTCCGGATGCGGACAAATTAGAAGCACGGCGGACGAACGAGCAGTTGGAAATTATGCAACATTAACGCAGGTGTCGTCACATGTTACATTGACGTCAATGCCGCGCGGATTCTTTCGAGGTATTCGCACGTTAACACATTCCACGAAGCGCGAACGAAGGCGTGCCACGCGGTTTGCGTGATTGCTGGTATTCAGAACCATCGGACGTGACCGTTAAATGCTCGAACGTGTCTAGCAACCGAATGCAGAGTCGCTTCTGCGTTGCGCAGTATCGTAAAGCATCTATTTCTACTTCTATGGTCGCGACACAAACAATCGAGATTCAACTTGTAATTTTACTTTGATTTACTTGTAATATTTTTCGACGTTGAGGTCGGTAATCCGAAATGATCGTGAAGCTATAGATCGTGAAAATGCAAACTTACAACACCGATGCCCTCGAGCGCGAAGATGGCAGTGCCGAAGAAGAGAGGTAGCTGCGACCAGCTTGAGAAATTTGGCACATTGTCGATACTGGGTAGATCGCTGAAGATGTAGTAGAAAGTGATCCCCATGCCGGTGGCAATCAACACGTTCGCCACCATCGAGAAGGGCGCGAGGAATTTGAGATTCCTCACTAGGGAGAAGGTGATGAGAAACGGCAGCAACGCGGCCATGTAGATCCGCAAATCCTTGTCCGTTGCCGTGTAATAGTCCACAACCTCCTTGAGGTTGGTCGAGATGAAGACGATGTATACGCAGCAGCAGCCTACCAAGTCGATCACCAGGAACGTGTTGATCGTCGCCCTGAAAGTCAATCGAACGTGATACAGTCGACGTGATGGAGGATCTCAATGGACCATCGTGTGCAGAAGGTATGCAGGACACGTTATTCCCTTGACTAATCCTAGTAGGGAAAATAAAGCGGTCGCCCACTTGACAGAAGCTGATGGTTCACTTAAAGGAGTTCTCAGGAAGAGCCCAGGTGAGCCATAATCAATTTTGAACGAGCTACGCGACCGCTTCATTCTCAGCCAAGCTATGAAACGTAAAGTAAGCGCGATGTCTCCCGCGATTACACTTACTTAGCGAGTCTGGCGTATTTCTGAACGGGTTCAGGCCCGTCCAAGAAGGCTGCTTCGGCCACATCGGCGAAGCCGAGACTGGGCGTCTGCGTCCGCCTGCACAGACGGTGGGCGGACTTGACGAGTATGTGGACGCAGTAGGTGCAGACTGCGCCGATGAAAAAAGTGGCGAAGAGTCCGAAGGCGAGGCCGGCATTGCGGAAGGCCATCGGCATCGCGAGTATGCCAGTGCCCAGGCTACCCTTGAGCAGATGTATGAGCGTGTCGAGGTCCGACGTGGGATGGGCAAGCTTGCGGTGCTCGAACGGGTCGTAAAGGGCGGCCTCCTCGTCGATCTGTCGTTCCACAAGCGGCAAGGTCGATCCGTTCGTGACCGTAATGGGCACGTCATTTTTCTCGCACTTGTATCTGCAAAACCGGCGGCTTTAGTATGTCGCGGTGCACGGCGCGAACTGCTTCCGTGAGTGGGATGTAGATTACAGGTAGACATACAGGGTATCTCAGAGCGTCGCCGCCGCTCCTTTGATCTACAGACTGTTCGACCAATCCGGTCTTATCCGGTTTAATCATCGAGAGGGGTATCCGACATGATAATGAAAGGAACGGCCGAGGAGAAATGTGTTCGTTCGAATTCTCTCTCGTTAAGAGGCTTTTCAGACGAGCTGATCAAAGAGTGCATAGGCGAAAGGAGCGGCGTTGGTGTCTGCGACATCCTGTACAGTTTATACATATTTATCTCGCGCGTGGATAACGTGAGTATATAGTGTTACGTGGGACCTGGTCCTGTTTCACGCGGTTTCACGGCGTTTTCCTCGTGCCCGCGATTTGCATCACGACGCGTGATGTGAGGGTGTATAATAAGAGAGTGCCGAAGTGGAGAGGTACTCTTTCTCGCACGCTCGCATGCCGAGGGAGTCGGAGAGAGAAAGAGAGAAAAAGAGAGAGAGAGAGAGAGAGAGAGAGAGAGAGAGAGAGCGGGGATGCAGACAGGGTGCGAGACATATGCGAGAGTTGCGCATTCAGAGGCCGCGGCAAGGTTCTCTTAACGACGGTGATTTTATTCGAGCGAACGGCGATGAGAGAGCTGCGCTACCTCGTTATTAGGTCGTTACGTCTGCGCTTCGAGTGCATTAAAGCGCGTATCATCGTTAAAAAAAAAGGGAGAGAGAGAGATCGAGAATACGATATTAAGGCGCGCAAGGTCGGGAAAAAATAAGCGTGTTGAAAGAAATTCAGGATACTCGTGTAGTTAACTCGCGGTCGATTCGGCCTTTATTGTTTTTTATACTTGTATATTTTCTATTATGATATTAACGATAAATTGTTCGCTCCGCGCACACACGGAAAATACAACTCCGTTAGAGTAACTGAATTTTCTGTTACTTGGGGACCAAATGAAAAACTTGATGGTACACTGAGGGAAAAATTACCTTAAAATCAACAAGTATTTCTTTGATGGGTGCCATTAACATATTTATTTAAATCTAAATTCTCTTTGTTTAAACCAAATATTGCTTGTTTAAATCAGGTAAACAATATTTGATTTAAATAAAGAGAATTTAGATTTAAGTAAATATGTTAATGGCACCCATCAAAGAAATATTTGTTGATTTTAAGGTAATTTTTCCCTCAGTGTAGGAACAGAAACATTTCTGTCGGAGATTACTACTCAGTCAATTGTTGTTAGTTTCAACCAAATTTTAATACAGCTGAATGTTCAGATGAATATTTTTAGTCACAGAGATATTATTTCTCGTCGGCGAATTTTTCGTCTGGTCCCTAGCTGGTTGCCCGAACTGAAATCTTCTGTGCGTAGACGCAAGGGTCGTCTACAATACGCGGAGTAAGCTTACCGTAAAAGTTGGAGTAAGAAATAAAAATAATTTATTTCATTTACACCTCTATACTCTGATTCCCTCACATCGGAAATATTTTTTTTCAGGTAAGAGAAATACTTCCGGTGTATGGAAGCTAGAGTATAAGGGCCGTAAGCAACATGAAAATTATTTTTATTTTTTGTTCCAACTTATATACACGTCAAGCTTATTTCACTTATTGTAGATGAGCCTGTACAATCACGCACACACACATACACACAGGGTTTCATTCAAACGGTTAATCTATTAATTCACTGAATCTCTCTCAAGAAGGAAAATGATAATGAGTTCACAGTATTATCGTCCTGGAGGCGTTAAATTATTCCAATGACGCTAACGTGATTCAGTTATCGCGCTAAGCGCGTACGCGTAATATCGCCCAGACCGTTTTTATAGATCGTTTATCTCTTTTAACGTTATCATACGTCTCTCTTGTCTCGCCCACGCAAGCAGCGCGATGAGTCCGATAAGGAGATTATTTCTCGAAAGGGAAAAGGAAAAATTAAATTTTTGTTACTCAACAGGGAAAAAGTGCCTAAAGGCAGGTGCATTTGAGAGCTCTCGTCTCTCGGAAAATTCCCACGGCAAGAGATTGGCGTTCAGAGTCGGACGTTCATCTTGCCCTTGTCAGAATCGGCAGTCGCCGATCGTAACCTAAAGTGCGACTTCACGAGGAGCGTTTCCTCGTTGACACTACGCAGCGATAATAATATGCTGAGCAAGCGCATTCCGTCGGCCGCGAATGTAAACGACGGGCCGCGCGCGCGTCACCGATTTTTCCTCCTCCCGCGCTCGTTGGACTCGCACTCGATCGCAGACGTACGACATTGCGTACTGAAAAGTCAAGAACAAGAGATAGCAAGCGAATGATTCTAGGGACTAACACGATGTGTCGGCGCGTTAGTAATCAACGGTAACTCGAGACCGGCAACCTCATCTCAGTAATTGATATATATCTTACGTCGCGTGTAGATAATAAAATTATTCGCTTGTGTACACGTGTGTGTATGCATATATTTATTTATTTATGTATGTATATACGCGTGTCCTGTGTGTATGCGCGTGTGTGTGTGTGTGTATGCGTGTATGAAAGAACGAAAGAGAGAAAGAGAGGGTGGGGGGAGAGTACACGCGATATGTGTTTGTGTAAAAATTCGTAAAAAAAGGTAGGTGTGTAGGTATTATAGGTACCCATATTTTTTAGGTGCGGTAGTTTCTCTCCGTAGACGTGCGAAGCTTTCTGTCGAGAAAGCTCCGGGAATAGAGTCTGTGTGTGTCCGTCACGTGTTACAACGTGACGAAGAGTTCACGCGCCGCGTTACAGGCATATAGTGAGGGCAGCTGCAACCACCGCACTGCATCACCGTCGCGGCGCCCAGCGCCACGACGCAGTACGACGACTAACAAGCCTCCTTCGCCTTCCGAACTTTTTGCGCACTTGGCCGAGTATATTTCGTTTTATATGTATATATTTTTTTCGTGTTTTTTTCTTATTCTCTCTACACACACGTCGAGCGATCTATCACCGAATCGATGCCAATGTCTCGGCTTTGGCCCGGGAATTTTGCAATTTTACGTCCGATCAGGTGTCTGTCATGTCCGAGTCGCGTCTAAGTCGTGCCGTCGTCGTGTATGTCCCGTCGAGCTTTAAAAAAAACATCAAGGCGTCGGTCCGACAATAGTACCGTATGCTTTTTTCTCTATTCTTTTCTTTACGTTAGTATCTTTTCGTTTTGTTTTTTTTTTTTTTTTTTCGTTCTCTTTCGTTATTCGCAGAGCGCTTTCAGAAGCGAATATACGCCCGGAGTTTATACGCAAGTCTGGAATCATATAAATGCACATATTATACAGTAAAGACAGGCAGATCCTCTATTTTCTGGGAACATATTCTGCTTTGCATACCGCATGACCTCTACACGAAGCATTCTCGATCAGCGACGAGATAACTGCGACGATTCTCCTGCTCTGCTGCGTTTCGCCGCGAAGGGGACTCGCGCGCGACTTACTCTCGCGACCTCGCAAATTGTAAGGTACAAAACGCGCATGTAAGAACGATAATACGACGCGAGTAGACGGTTAACCGGGAGCAAAATGGATTTTCTCGCTGGCGGATTTCTCAGACGAGACATTATTTCATTACAATACAGACGACGCGCACACGTCTTCGTCTCGCTACCGAAGGTTGTTCCTACAATATCATTAAGTATCATTACGTTAAGTAGGATTAGAAGCCACTCGTCAGCCGCTAAGAGAGCGATTAGCTGGTACGGATATAATAGCGTTCAGCGAAATCGGAGCAACGTGAGCGACGACTGCGGCGGCGTCGGTGCCATGAATAACAAACGCTTGAAACTCGGAAACGCGTGAATACACAAATGCGAAGGTGTCAAAGATCAACCGAGCGCGCGAGCAATTTGCGTAAGCTACCTGAAGGTCGGGAAAATTCGCACGTGCGGGAAAAGCGCGGAGTTTGGCGTACGAATGGCAAAACAGGCAGCAGAGAAGAAGTCCCGTCTCGAGCGCGAAGGATCCAAAGATATCGTCGCGGCGCCGCCAAATCAATCGACGAGGAAAGCTGATCGTTTACGTGAAAATCCGACCTTATTGTCCATCCTGATGACTACTTTCAACCACCTACATCGATAGTCGCTTATCGTGCGTAATATCGAAAGAGAAAGGGAGAGAGACGGAGAGAGAGAGAGAGAGAGAAAGAAAGAGAGAGAGTGAGAAAAGTCTTCACGCCTTCCGTACGTTGATTTAATTGCAAAATCGAAACGGAGATTTATGGACTGCAGACATGCGCTATGAGTCTGTTATAATTATTTTCACTTGCAAAAATAAGGAAAGGTCAGAGGAAGAAAGAGAGAGAATTTTGTTTCATGTTCGGCAAGACAAAGATGAGAGACGAAGCGACTTTGGTACCGCCAATCAATTCGATTCGGTGGGATCTTTCTTTTCTTTTTTAAGACCAACGCATGTCCCAGATCGAGTGAATTTCTCGTCGGCACGTCGGCATGAAAGAACATTGCACAATAAGCAGCAGTACATATCTGTACGCACACACAAATGAACAACCTCGCACTCGTCCAAGATTCAGCAGGCGGCCGTCGAAGCATCCTTGGTGCCAGCTACGCTACGAATTCTACGTCAGCGATCAGGCGGTATGCACGATTAGTGTGGTACTAACGATTAGAGTAGTTTCTCTGTTTAACGATAAAAACAACGAAACAACAACAAAAGAGATAGAAAGAGAGAGAGAGAGAGAGAGAGAGAGAGAGAGAGAAAGAGAAAGAGAGAGGAATGAACAACAACAGTGAGTGAATTAACGTAATCATATGATAAAATACAGTAGCATAAAGAATATGAGAGAGAATACACGTATTAATGAAAAATGTAAAATGCACAATATATGATCCTCGGGATGTCTTCTCACTCACGTTTGCTTGAGCATTTGGGTTTGGCAAGAAAGCAATGGTGATGATCGGTCGTGGTAGCGGATAGCGAATTGCTCGACTATCGCTGAACCATCGTTCGTTCGCGCTGATTTCGTTAATGGAGTTTCGGGACTTACTTGACAAGCACCACGTCTGAGAGTTCAGTTTTCACGCCGTGCTTCTTTGGCTCGTATTCCGCTATCATCGGGCGCATTGGCGTTCTCTGCAACAGAAGGGGTCGAGCGATCGGATTAATTAAGCGCGCGCGCACACACATTCATATTACACATCCGCGACTAGACTAGATCGAAATAAGCGCGCGCCTGCGAACGCATTGACATTTTTGGATGCATCCGGATGTCAACGACCGCACGTAATTTTCTCCTTCGGACAGATTGGGTTGGGTCAGTTTTATACCGCCGTGATATCATATGTATAGCCGCCGTGTGTCGAATGCATCTGCGCGCCGGTTATACGCGTGCATGTGCTCTGTTTTGTTTACCGGCATATTTTATACTGATCAAGCCGCGGCCTGTCCGACTTATTAACGGTATTATGGTAATCTGCTGCCGCGGCAGAAATTAAGTCAACTCTGTGGGAACTTTTCCACGATTAAATATAGAATTCGTCAATCGGCAACACAGTGAGAATATTACGGTTTATTTCACATAAATTCTGCCCGATTTTACTGTGCCTTTAGTAATTTTACGCGTACACGAAATAAATACATATTGAGTATGAGTACTCAATATCATCAGACACTCTATAAGATGTTTCTTACTTAAATCCTTTGACCGATCTCTAGATCAAATTTTGCACGATTGCTTTCTAGGACCTTGCGAAAAAATATAGGCTATTATGAAACTCGAACTATGGCACCCTGTCCCCTTGATTTCATTCTCTTGACACTTTGTGATAAGTTTAAATATTGTAGATACAAGAAGCCCAGGTAACGCCGGCTGGTTTAAGCTAATTTTTACTATAAAATCTTCTTCGTGGAACGCAACATGACTCGAAATCAGTTTTCAGGCGATCCTGAGATTTTGTCTCGCGTCTTCGGATCTCGCTCCGACAGTGCGCGGCGCATCAAGTCGTCCCTGAGCGTGAGTCACCCGTGAGTTTGCTAACCACTATAATTCGCGCAATGTATTCACCCTAATGTGGGGACGATCGTCCGCCGCCGCCGACAGGGAGCTCATTTCCACGTCGTGGGCGCTATCGGCGTTCCCCATCTTCGCTCTTTCGTGGAAGCCTTCCTTCACCCTTCTTCAAATCTCTCCTCGGCGAGCACACGCGAACACCGCGCGGACTTTGTAAGGGAGCGTAAACGTCACGCGCACCACGTGCACGAACGGCCGACGTCCATCGAGGCGTGATTGTTACCTGACGTTCACTCGTGACGTACCACCTGACGCGCGTACCACTATCACGATCGATCGGCGATCAGTTGGAATCTCCGACGGAATCAGGACGCACCTCCACGAGGAACAGAAGAGCGCGATCGGGATGAGGTTCACGAAGAAACGGAATCACTGGGACGGTCCTCGCGGCACTACCTCGGGGAGGTTCCCTTGTCCTTCCGCAAACAGCACGTAGCCGCGCAGTCACGAGAACGTCGCGACGTGCCGTTCAGGTTCCACGTTCATATTCAAGACGGCCGCTTGTTGGCTCCGACGACGAAGAGGCGCGCGACGAAGCGAGGACGACGAGTCTATCTTGAGACGGCTCCGGCTACGGCGGCGTCCGCAGAGGAACGCGAAAATCGACGTCGGCGCGGCCGAATAAAACGGGCGTCGCGATTCGCCGATAATCCGCGAGCGGCGAGCGTTAGACCCGGCGACTTCGCACTGTTCCGTGTGCACCTTCGCGCGTCCTGAACGTCGGTCCGTCCTATTCGCGTTATCCGGACCGCTCTCTTTCTCTCTCTCTTTCTATGTGTAGAGCCGTGCGCGGCGTAGAAAAGCGCGGCTCTCGCTGCCAAATCTTTCGGCAACGTCCGGCGAGGACGGACTCCTTTATATATCGTGCGACTTACGAAAATAGGAAGAGCAAACAGACGCGAGCGCGGCCGCGGCTCACGTGAGCCGCGCGTCTTTGCCGGCCATCTGACCGCTAACGAGAAGGTTTAGCACAGGATCTGTTTGAACGGCACGACAGACGGATCCCGTCGCCGTCGCTGTCGTCGTCGTCGTTCTTGCCTCCGCGGTTTGATTCTCGAATTAGAGGGTTGCGCTCGGCTGCCTCTTCACCCGCGTGCGATTATTGCGCGGAAAATTCGCGATGGCGCAACCGCGCGGCGCCCACGACGTGCGGTCAAACACGACGAAGAAGAGCGGATGGAGGACTAACGACGGTTATTTATATTGTTTCGACATGCGTCGAAGCGCGCTGTGCGAGACGATCTTATTTAAATTCGTTCTCCCGGTCGCAGTCCAGTTGGCGGCATAACGAGATATTGTTTAACTCATTACGCCGTAACTCAATGAAGTCGGCGGTTGGCGGACAAATGGGTTAAAGATCGTCCAGGAAAGTGATCTATTTAAGTTGCCGCGTCTCGAGAACTTCTCTCTCTCTTTTTGTCTCTTTTGGATCTCCTTTCGGGAGACTACGCGATATTATTTTCATTGCGCCGCGCGAAGGAGAGAGAGAGAGAAAGAGAGAGAGAGAGAGAGAGAGAGAGAGAAAAGAAAGTGTTATTAAGCGATATCTGAAATATATTTCCTCAAGTGCATCAAGAAGTAGAAAAATTTTGCATTTGACGAAAATAGAATTTAGATAGAAAAAGATTGTAAGTATATGGTGAGTACGGCTTTTTCTTTATAAGTATTTTAGAAATATTATATGGAAATAGATATTTTTTCTTAGGGGAAGGGTTACTCCTTAGGATTTGCAAAATCATTAGAACTGCTTAGATGTGGTAGCCTGAGAGGGAACAAGTGTTGAAACAATGTGCTAGTAGTTAAATTAAAGATTGCGATTGAAAGAGAAAGAGAGAGAAGAGGAGGAGGAGAGGGAGAGAAAGAGATATCTTTGAGAAGATACCGATGCCTAAGTGCGTCAAAAATAGATGCGTCCTCTTGCGTGCGCACGTGAATCCTATGACGATCCACATCGCTTCGCGATTTGACGTTAGAATTATGATGACGCGTCAGGTTGGTGTCAGCGAAATGCACGTGTGTCACGTAAATACCGCGCAAATAAAGCGTCGTTTAGAGCACGGCCAAGAATTTATTGTGCCGTGTCTAAAAGCGCGCACGAAACGTCAATGGTATGCCCACCCGTAAATTTGAGTGAAGTGTTAGTCGCGAAAATATTCGTCTTAACGTCTTCTCCAACGGCAATCTTTTTTTTCTATTCCTCTCTCTCTCTCTCTCTCTCTCTTTCCTTCTGCCGTCGGCGTCGCCGAGTTAGGTGCCTTCTCAGTGACGTCACTGTTATGTAAGTAAACACGCCGATTATGCCCCGGCCAGAATCCGTGTAATCCGCTACATAAATTCGCTTGCAGGCACGCCGTTGAAATCCCACCGGGCGAGTCCGCGCGTAACCCACACGTGTCTCGGAGCTTATTTCGGGAACTGGAAATGTCGCCGAGGCGCGGCGGGACGCGTCTGTGACGCGCGCGGAGGACGAGCTGCGCGCGCCCACGCGTAATATCCTGCCGAACAGCATCCTGTGTTCCGGCCGCGGCATTTCGCATGCAACGCACCCCCCCCGCACGATGTATGTGCGCGAGCGCGAAGGACGTTCCTGCCGATTGGACATCTCTTCGGCCGCCACCTCGTGGACAGCTGGCACGAATTCGGCGCCTATTTCCGTCGCGGCGCCTCGGCGTTCTCTCCTCGGAGCGACAGAGTTTAGGTACCACGCGGAAACTCCGTTCCGACCGGGGACGCGCTTATCGTATATCGTTGGTGATTCTGCAAATTTATTCTCTCATAAATCAGAGACGGTAGTTCGCAGAACAGCGATACGGCACCATTGCCTTTGTTCGGTGTCGAAAAAAGCTTATAACTTTCCGACCCGACGTAATTGGAAGTTACATCATCGACTAACACGTCCCGTGAATGGAATCCTTTCTTTTGCCATCTTGTTATGTTAATGAGAATAAATTTGTTTGCGGAACTCAGTCATGAGACCGAGTGTTTAGTTCAGAGAGAGAGAGAGAGAGAGAGAGAGAGAGAGAGAGA